TCTGGATGAGTCCTCATGTAGACTCTGCCCATTCCAGAACGATAGGGCACCTTGGGGGCCCGTCCTGGTTCCTCCGTTTCTTGCCTGTCTCTGTCTCGCCTGACAGTCATTTGTTGGTCAGAGAAGTCGGGGTCTTGACGGGACCGGTGCCGTGGTGTGTAATCATTGTCAGCCTCCTGATCCAAGAGGATGCCATAACGCTCTGACAACTGGCGGCGGCGCTCTGCTTTGTAGCGGGCGATGCGTTCAGCTTTGGAACTGGCACTGCTGGGTTCTGTGAAGCCAGATGTGGGTGTAGAAGAGGTGGACAATGTTATTGGGTCAACATACACCAACACCGGCTCTGTACGGCTGCCAACACCACCTTTGACCTGAGGTGACCTGTCTGGAGGTGACACCTGCTTCTGGGGAACTTCCAAATCTTCTCGACTGTAGCGCCTCACTGTGGTAAATAACAACATTCCTTGACAACTAAGAATTATGCCACATTCACTGTCACATGGAAGTTACTGTAATTGGTACCATTTTCTGCTCAAATCAACCTACAAGTCACAATTAAGAGTGGACAATATGTTTTTCTGAAAGCTCCGATAGAAGATCTGATTTATTGCTGAGACACATTTAATTCAAGACCGTATTTTGGTATAGACCACTATCACAAATCATAGCTTTGCCTCAAGGAGCGTCAATCCAAGTCCAATAAAGACAGAATCATATAGTTTTCTAGTACATCTTGCCATGCTTACCCATCACACAAGGCTCACAGGGGTCTGAGGCACGGGTGTACCGTGGTGGATCCTCCTCCAGCATTCTGTTGGCTACCAGTCCACCGGGCAGCAGAGCAGGAGGAACATCAGTATCAATCCCCTCTAAGCGCCGGGCTATCCTCTCCTTCCTGTCAAACGCATAAGGCAGCAGGTAAAATATAAGAGTCTGTATGAAAATATTTAAAGGTGGCAAACTGAAAATACAGTGTAGAAGATACCTGTTCATTTCCAAATCCTGTGTGACTGAGCCCTCAAAGTATTTCTTCAACTCTGAAACTGATCATTTAAAGACAACATAAATTCAGTATTATAAAATATAAAATGTAACAAACTATTTATTTTATCGTGAGTTATTCTGAGTCCTTAGAAGCGATACAGACCCTTGGGTAAGGCAGCCAGAAGCCTGGCATCAGTATATGAACCACTGTTGGCCAAGGCGGTCTTGTCACCCAAGGAGAAGTCACGCTGCAAACTGAATGAGACAACACAGCCCCAGAGCAGCTATGAAGATTAAACTTAGTACATTCTGAATTGCACATCAATGAAAAAAAAGACATTTTCATTATATAATGCATTAGAATGCAGATACTGTTTTGCTTCCTGTGAGTTTTACCCTTCTAACTGACTGTGCTACTTCCTTTTAATTCTAATTTTATTATGCAATTATTGCTGGATTTTTAATATATATTCTCTCTGTTGTGGTGGCTTGATTTGATTTTATTTTTTGCTGAATTATTTTTCTATGCAAAGCATTTTAGAACTTTGTTTTGAAAAGTGCTTTATAAATAACAAATATTATATTATTAAATGACAAGAGGTGGTGGAAGGTAAAGGTGAAGTCAGCTGGCATGACCTCCAGCAGGATGTGGCTTAGGAATTAGGTCATTAAGTCCTGACTCTCCTTCAAGTGGAAACAGACAACCAGGGGTTTCTCTTAATCTCTTTACATGTCAGAATCAGCAGGTCACATAAGCAAGGATAAGTAAACTCACCCTTCTTTTCTTTGTAAAAGCTTCATAAACTTCTTCATTTATTGTTCAAACAGATCCTTAATGTTTTCCGCTTTGAATCTGCCACTTCTCATTTCTCTTCAACTCTTTATGTTTCAGTTAGGAGCTTACAAAAATCTCTGCCGGCAGCATGAGACAGTCCAAATGCTAAAATACTGCAGTCATCTTCAGCTTGTGTCAGTTTTTACTGATAAATACTTGATGTCATCAATAAGCAGATCAGTTACAGCTGCTTTAAAATCTGATTTTACAATCTAACCATTACTTTTAAGACTGGATACCTTTACATTATAGTTTCTCTAACAGTGGTAACAATTTGCTTTTGTGCCAGAGCCTCTGAAAACTTAATAAAAAGGGAGGTGATAGAGTTATTATAGCTCTAACACCATGTGAACAAACGCTGTACCAGGCATCTCCAACTTTGATTCAACATTGGCTGTACCAGGCATCTCCAACTTTGATTTGGTTTGATTTGATTTATTTTTTCAAGCATATAAAACAGTTGATATAACAACACAACTTTT